TAATCTGATCTTGCACATATAAAGTGGGACAAAAATGTTTCACTGACTATTAACAATCATTATCAACAATTATAATCAGCTAGTGTTGACACAGGGCAATGTTATCACAACTATGAGGTATTCCAGAACAAGTTGGAAAGTTCATTTCTCAAAACTGTTGCAATTTAAATTCAGAGCCAGACAACCAGCATGTTCACTCTACATTGGTCCCAGAAGTCACAGACACAGAAAAACTTATTAGCTTTGAGAGGCCGACAAATATTTTCAAGTTGATTGAAATCTTGCGATGTCGACCATCATCGGGGACAATTTTACACATCACAGCTACAACAAATCTGGATTTCAAGGCTGATAAAAATTCCTCAATCCCATCGGTGCTTGTTATTTACTCCAATTTCTGAGCTATTAGGGATGGTATCTGTCACTGGAAGCATAGTTTCAGTCAACCAAACACATGATCTTTTTTATTTTTAGAAAACATTTGCCTGTCTGTAACACAGACAACCTCGCCATTAAAACCCAGGAATGCTAATTTCAGTATGCATATTCAATACATTAGGGAAAAAAAGATCCTAGACTTCCAAACAAGTCTAATACAAAGACATATATTGTAATATCACAGATTTTTCATGTAATAACCCCTTGAACACTTTGATACACAGTTGCTATAATTTGCTCTTGAAATGCTGTGAATAAAATAAAGGTGTGTTTGTAACAATTACCTTCTTTGCACGCTTCTTCTTCTTTCCTTGCGTCACTTACCACGTCAATGTCTGACGTATGAACAACATCATCATCATCCAGGTTGTTTCCATGATGATCATCTAATGCATCTGCATCTGCATCGTCTTGGTTACAGTAGCTTTTGTAAACTGATATTGAGTCTAGTTTGGGCGGTGGTGGGATTGGAGGTGGTGAAGATAACGTAGGTACATCAAAGAATTTACTGCGAACTGGAATTTCTGAAAAATATGAGTCGTTTTTAGCAACATGATACAATTGGGGTCATACAAACTTCCCTTATTTCTAATTAGGTGACCTAGATTTCAGAATAACAGGTGTAAGTAATTTATATCGTTTCTGAAGGCAACATTGGATGGATTCCTTGAATTGATGTTGGTGACCTTTGCCCTTATCCCACAGTGCATTGTGTGGGAAAGGCTTCACCATTTCCCAAAGTATGCCACAGGAACTGTTTTTTAACTGGGCTACCTACTGGGAAAGATCAGTGGAGTCAAATGTAGGAATATTTATAGGTTTCACACCACCATTCCATTACACAGTGCTTTTACATATATATTAAAACACATGTACACTGTGGTGGTGTGTAACCTATAAAACACTCGAAAATTTGACTCCAAGCTGGTACTGTAAAACGATTTTCACTGCCATTTAATCTCATTATTTTGATGTTTTGAGCAATTTTACTGGATTTTAATTTCATGAATTTGTCAAGAAAACAATGAGTTATATTGTTATTTGACATGTTCACATAGATTTTATTTAGTGGATTTTACTAATCAGTGAAAATGGCGAAATTAAAAACCAGTGAATAGTTAATATAAGTGCATGTGTACACTGAAACTGAAATCAACTTGTTAGTTAACAAGACACTATCACACATGGATGGTTAAACAACAAAATTAATCAATTACATTACGGGTAATCACTGCGTTTATTTGTATATGAAGCATGGAATTTATTCTTGCTAAAAAGTTTGGAAGTTTGTTTTGTATTGAAATAAATTTGAAAAAAAAGTTTTATCAATATAGACTCGCATTGACCATAAAAGAAATCATTATTCTGTATCGTTTAATTTTCATTGCTAGAAAGTTTCGCGATTTCATGATTTTATGAAATTCATGAAGACAAAATTTCATGCAAGTCAGGACTGATACTGTAGAATACTTTATTTTCACTTGGAATTTATTTTCACCATTTTCGCTGAAGGGATGATTCCGTGAAAATAAAATCCAGCGAATATACTTTTTTTTCTATATTTCACATTAAACTCATCAAAAATCAGTGAAAATAAATTCTATACAAAATGCCCAAAAAGCCTTTTCAGCGAAAATTAATTCCAGCGAAAATATAGTATTCCACAGTATATAACTTTCACTGACTTGTGAAATTCGCAAAAAAAAATTGTTTCTCGTGAAATTAAAGTAATTTACAGTATTCAGAGTAGTTCTGTCAGTTAAGATGTGTAGAACTATATGAAGATGAACACTCACAAAGAATATCCTGGACAATAACAGTACTGGGGTACTGATAAAGACACAAAAGATGTACACAATGCAATGTATAGGAGAAAATAATACAAACAGAAATGATGCCATGATACAGCTGTTTGCAAATTAAAAATAGCAATTTCAAGCTAATAAACATATCCATAATTTAACATGATTTTCTTTTTTTTTGGATAAAGTGATTATAATATAATTGGGCAATTCAAATGTCCAAACACACATACACTGTATATTCAATAAGCTCTTGATTCAAGTACATAAATACCGACCACCTCAGGCAACCTCTTAGCTTAGGGGTATTCTATAGATTTTATGAAAGCCAAGGTCATTACCATTGAATTCACTGTATATATGGACATTTACATTCAGTACAATCAAAGCATGGCCAAGGTCATTACCATTGAATTCACTGTATATATGGACGTTTACATTCTCGGTACAATCAAAGCATAGCAAATCAAGTGAAAGTGACCTCAGGCAAACTACATGTAGTTTTACCAACAAATTAAATTGTTTGTTTGTCTTGTGCATACAAGTATGCTTTGACCTAAAACTGTTGAGTTTATTTGTCGAGTTAATTAACTTTAACTTTAAACAGCAGCCACTAGAGAGCCGAAAAATAAAATCAGAGCAAAACACAAACCCATGTTACCTTTTCATTATTTGCAGCAACTTATCACACTTCATTTTAACTACTGTAAAATCTTTTACTTTTGCTGAATGATTCAATGAAAATAAAATACAGCAAATATACCTTTTTTCCTATATTCTACATTCAACTCATCAAAAATCAGTGAAAATAAACTCCATACAAAACAGCCAAAAAAAAAAACATTTCAGCAAAAATTTATTCAAGCTAAAATAAAGTATTTTACAGTACCTGGGAACCAATTTGATTTTCTTAACTAAAAAGTTTTTTTTCTGCATCTAAATCAATCAAAATGTGTTTCTTTGACATTTCTTTCACATTGGGTGAAAAAACAAGCAGCCTCTCGGCTGAGATAGCTCCGCTGTTAGCAAGGCACATTTCAATTAAAGAACTGAAGATATCATTAGAAAATGAACAATATGTATAAGTATGTATAGCAATTGGACTTGCTGTTTTCAACAATAATTCAAAAATATCACTTTTTACCAAAAATGACATAAATATTCATCAAAATTAGATAATTGAAGATATCATCACAAAATGAACAAATCTGAGAGAGGTCCACATGTAGTACCTATATATGTAATATCAAAGCAATTGGACCTTTGGTTTTTAACAAGAAGTTGAAAATATCACTTTTTACCAAAAATGACAAAAAATATTCACCAAAATTAAGAAATTTAAGATATCATCACGAAATGAACAAATCTGAGAGAGGTCCACATGTAGTATCTATATACGTAATATCAAAGCAATTGGACTTGCGGTTTTTAACAAGAAATCGAAAATATCACTTTTTACCAAAAATTACAAAATATTCACCAAAATTAGGGAATTGAGGATATCATCACAAAATGAACAAATCTGAGAAAGGTTCACATGTAGTAACTATATATGTAATGTCAAAGCAATTGGACTTTTGGTTTTTAACAAGAAGTTGAAAATATCACTTTTTACCAAAAATGACAAAAATATTCACCAAAATTAAGAAATTTAAGATATCATCACGAAATGAACAAATCTGAGAGAAGTCCACATGTAGTACCTATATATGTAATATCAAAGCAATTGAACTTGCGGTTTTAAACAAGAAGTCAAAAATATCGCTTTTTACCAAAAATATTCACCAAAATTAGAGAATTGAGGATATCATCACAAAATGAACAATCTGAGAAAGGTCCACATGCAGTACCTATATATGTAATATCAAAGCAATTGGACTTGCGGTTTTTAACAAGAAATCGAAAATATCACTTTTTACCAAAAATTACAAAATTATTCACCAAAATTAGGGAATTGAGGATATCATCACAAAATGAACAAATCTGAGAAAGGTCCACATGTAGTATCTATATATGTAATATCAAAGCAATTGGACTTTTGGTTTTTAACATGAAGTCGAAAATATCACTTTTTACCAAAAATGACAAAAAATATTCACCAAAATTAGAGAATTTAAGATATCCTCACAAAATGAACAAATCTGAGAAAGGTCCACGTGTAGTATCTGTATATGCAATATCAAAGCAATTGGACTTGCGGTTATTAACAAGAAGTCGAAAATATCACTTTTTACTAAAAATTACAAAAATATTCACCAAAATTAGAGAATTGAAGATATCATCATGAAATGAACAAATCTAAGAGAGGTCTACCCCAGGTACATACACACCAAGTATCAAAGCATTCAGGCTTGTATTTTTCAAGAAGAAGTCGAAAAAATAAAACATTGACACGGACGACAACGGACGCCGACGACGGACGACGGACAGTCACTCATGATAAGCTCCACTCGACAAAGTCGACAGCGAAGCTAAACAAGCAGCCTGTCGGCTGAGATAGCTCCGCTGTTAGCAATGCACATGGCAATTAAAGAACAGAAGATATCATTAGAAAATGAACAAATCTGAGAGAGGTCCACATGTAGTACCTATATGTATAATATATCAAAGCAATTGGACTTGCGGTTTTCAACAAGAAGTCGAAAATATCACTTTTTACCAAAAATTACAAAAATATTCATCAAAATTAGAGAATTAAAGATATCATTATGAAATGAACAAATCTGAGAGAGGTCCACATGTAGTACCTATATATGTAATATCAAAGCAATTGGACTTGCGGTTTTCAACAAGAAGTCGAAAATATCACTTTTTACCAAAAATTACAAAAATATTCACCGAAATTAGAGAATTAAAGATATCATTACAAAATGAACAAATCTGAGAGAGGTCCACATGTAGTACCTATATAT